CCCACGCCTCTCCCCACGCCCATCCCCCTTCCTTGTTATTCTTGAACGCCCAAGGCCGGCTGGCCCCCTCACCTCCCTCGGGTCTCAGTTCCACCATGCTCTGCCCTGTAGAAAGCTGACCCCCCACCCCAGCAACCCTGTCCCTTTATAACCTCTCCTAGCTTTATTTCGCCCCATTGCACTTGTCATCCTGGGAGGCACTCTTTAAGTTTTGCCGTTACCTTGTTGAGAGTCTGTCTCCCCAACAAATAAACTGCGTGAGGCCGGGGATTATTTTGTCTTGTTCACTGCAGTATCCTCAGTGCTTAGAACAGAACCCAGTGCACAGTAAAGGCTCAATAAATGTTTGCCCACTGAATTTTTATTGTAATGCATTTAATGAAATAGTCCCGATTACTCATAGGCGCTTAGCGAGAAACGTGGCCCCTACTGTTTTCTCTCTCGGGGGTGGGTGTGGGCACCCTTTGCCTCAGTTACACCGGCCCTAAAACGGGATCAGGAATAGCTGTTCGTGTGCGTGGCCGTGAGACCTGGACGTCATTAAGGTTTGGTCCCTAAGAAAATGCAATGGGCTCAGCTTTGATCGAGTTTGACTGCCGCCCGGGGCCCCTTGGGGGCCGCCCCGTCCTCTCCCGTCAGGCCCCGCCCCGGTGGGCGGAGCCACGGGCCGGGCCAGCACGTGTGAGTTCGCGGCGGGTCGCCGCAGTCACTCACCTGAGCGCCTCGGACTGAGCGCGCACGGCCCCCGCGTCCTCCTCCCGCCAGCCCGCCCGGCCGGCCGGCCCTCGACCCATGTCCCGCCGCAAGGCCGGCTGCACGCCTCGCCGAGTAGACCCCGCGCCCGCCTCCAACACAGACGACGAGATGGAGATGCCGGACCTCGTCATCGAAGTGAAGCCCGAGCCAGACGCGCGGCCCCTACAGGCCCCGGGGCTGGGGCCCTTCTCCCCGAAGGAAGTGCCCACGCCGGGGCTGTTCGAGGGCGAGCCCCGCCACTCCCCCGACCCCGTGCCCGCCGGGAGCCCTCTCCACGCCCCGGGCGAGCGGAACCAGTGGGCGCTGTGGACGCCACTGATCCTCAACCCTCGCGGTGAGCGCCCCCTACCCCTGCCCCGCCTCTCTCCCCTTCACTCGGGGGGCTTGGGGGGGCTACGTAGGACGCCTTCCTCCAGGCACCGACCCCGGACCCCCGGACCCCGCCTTATTTCTGCTGCCTGGTCCTGGCCTCCAGCCCCCATTCTGACCTTCGGGTTTTCCCTCTCCCTCGGAACCCCCAGCCCCCATCCTGGCCCCACCCCACGCTTACCACCCGTTTCCTCCCAGCAGACCGCCAGCCCTGGACCGACAAACACCCAGATCTGTTGACCTGCGGCCGTTGCCTGCAGACCTTTCCGTTGGAGGCCATCACTGCTTTCATGGACCACAAGAAGGTAGACTGTCAGCTTTTCAGAGGCCCCAGCCCCTGCCAGGGCTCAGGTGAGTCAAGCCGGGATGCAGTCCCCCTCTCAAAGTTCAAGGGCCCGGCTTCCTGTGGGAGAAGGGGCTGAGCTGGACAGGCGGGGCAGTGAGCACTACTTCCCTTTTCTCGCTCCCCATCGGGTGCAGCCTAGGCGTGGCCAGGGCCTGCCCTGTCCTAGGGCTGGGACTAGTTGGGGGGGGGGTAGGTGGGGGCGGGGCCTTACGAGGGCCGCCCACAAGGGTGTGGCCAGCCCCTGAGGACTGGTCTGGGGATTTGCCGCACACACACACCCCCAATCTGGTTTCACTTCTCCTTCCCCTTGGCCAGAAATAACTGGCCAGGTGGCTGGACCCTTGTGGCAGTAGGGGGACCTCTGGGGAGGGCAGCAACCTGGGGGAGGGGAAGCCGAGGCCAGCTGGAAGCGTGGCATGGCCACCCCGTCCCACCTCTTGATCACTTCTGATTGAGGCGCTGGTGCATTTGCTCAGAGTCAGGGAAGGGGACTCTGGCTTCCCTCTCTGATGGAATCTCCCAGCCCTGCACGCTGGGAAGCCCCTGGTTTGGGCCAGGTCCTGGGTGTCTGGACACCTGGGTTCCTTCTCTTGGGAGTGAATGAGAGGCCTTGACATGGTACTAGACTCACGGTAAACTTTTGGTCATCGCAGGCCGAGGCTTCTCCAGACCTACATGTTTCCATCCCCAAAACTCCTAGGATTTTTGAGAGATGGAATTACATTCAGGCCTGGGCTGGCTGGTGGGGGGGGGGTTCCTGTAGTCGGGGAGGGGAAGGAGGGACTGTGAATTAGCTGTAGACTTGAAGCCAGCAGGTTATCTGGTGGCCCAGGGAGGGGCCTTGATGGAATCACTGAACACTCCCAGGTGCTTGGACTTGGAGCAGTGTGGGCACCTCAGCCACGTGGGCTCAGCTCATGTTTACTGAGGGCTGACATGGACCAGAACTCTCAGTTCTTCTCCATTCGAGGTCACAACAGCCCTAAAAGGGAGAGGATCCCCATATTCTGACAAATGAGAAAACTGAGGGCCAGAGAGGAGTGTTTCTCGCCCACACAGCTAGGGAGCCGGAGAACTAGTTGGAAGTCGGGCCAGGCTGACACTCTCCAGCCCCCCATCTGTGCTCCTGACCCTGGTGTTGCATCAGGAAAGCCACCCCCATCCCAGACAGTCTAGAATTTGAAAAGTAAAGGCAAGTACTTTACTGATAGTACCTGGAGGGTCTAGAGAAAACATCCAATTTGGAGGGCTCTTAATTTGGGGTCCATGTCGAGGGGGGGGACCTAACTCACTGCCCCACCCCGACCTCTAGGTAGCTGCCAAGCCTTCTCCCCACTTAGGCCTTGGCCCCCTCTTCTGTGAGGCAGGGAAGAGGAGACCATGCGTGGAACACATGAACTTGGAGCTTGGCACAGAAACCCACTCAGTAATCAAGCCAACAGTCTTTTTTGAAAATCTGTCTCGCACTCCCCAGGTTTCTGGACTGAAATGCCAACTCCTCCCTTGCAAGCTTGTGACCTTGGAGAAGTGTGTCTGCCTCAGTTTTCCCATCTGGAAAATGGCACTCTTGTTTCTTGTCTAGGTGGGAAGCTCAGTGAGCAGGGGGCATGGCCCGGCACCCAGCACCCAGAATTTGGTCATGTCTTCCAGTAAGGCCTTCCTGACCCCCACCCCCACCCCCAATAGAAAATAGCACTCCTCCCGTCCCTCACTCTGCTGTCCCTTTTTTCTGGAAGATTCTCAGACACAAAGAGAACCCCCAGGTAGTCATCATCCACTCCACAGATTTTTCTTACTTGTCTGTCCGCCCACTTCTGCACCTCAGCTTCTGAGGACAGGGAGGTTCTGTCTCCCTGCAGTGCGTTCTCAGCCCTCCGAAAAGGGGCTTTGCTGCAGAAGGCGACCCACCGGCAGGTGTGAGACTGCTGCTTTCATGCATCTCCCTAACACTCGGCCCTTCTCTCTGCAGAACGCAAGGACCCCAAGGCCTTGAGCTGCTTCCGCTGTGGGAGACAGTTCACAGGGGCCTGGAAACTGCTGCGCCATGCCCAGTGGGACCACGGGCTGTCCATCTACCAGACGGAACCCGAGGCCCCCGAGGCCCCGCTGCTGGGCCTGGCGGAGGTGGCCACCGCCGTGTCGGCAGTGGTGGGGCCGGAAGCGGAGGCCAAGGGCCCCCGGGTGAGCATCCTGCCCCGGCGGAGCCCCACCTGCCCCGTGTGCGCGAAGACCCTCAGCTCCTTCAGTAATCTCAAAGTGCACATGCGCTCGCACACCGGCGAGCGGCCCTACGCATGTGACCAGTGTCCCTATACCTGTACCCAGAGCAGCAAGCTCAACCGCCACAAGAAGACCCACCGGCAGCTGCGGCCTCAGAGCCCCTGCGGGGCCAAAGCCAGTCAGGAACAGGCCTCTGCTGCCGCCCCTCCGGAGCCCGCCGCCCATGCGGCCGCCCCAGCCAGCAGCCTGCTGTGCAGCAGCGGGGAGGGCGCCGGGGCGGCGGCCACGGCGGGCGTCCAGGAACCCGGGGCTCCTGGCGGCGGGGCCAGCTGGGGGCCTACCCCCAAGGAACACACAGCTGAGCCTGCCAAGAGCCAGACGTCCCCCAAGAAGATGCCCAAGCCGGCAGGCAAGAGCCGCGGGCCCGGGGGCAGCTGCGAGTTCTGCGGGAAGCACTTCACCAACAGCAGCAACCTGACGGTGCACCGGCGCTCGCACACGGGCGAGCGGCCGTACGCCTGCGAGCTCTGCTCATACGCCTGCGCACAGAGCAGCAAGCTCAACCGCCACCGCCGCATGCACGGCCTGGGGCCCGGCAGCGCCCGCTTTGAGTGTCCCCACTGCTGCGTGCCCTTCGGCCTGCGCGCCACCCTGGACAAACACCTGCGGCAGAAGCACCCCGACGTGGGCGGGGAGGCCTGAGCTGCAGGGATGCCCTTCCTGCTGGTCCTGGCACCGCGCGGGGGGCCACTGCTGCTCCACGTCCTTGTCCTTCCTCTGTTGCCAGTAAATCCTCCCGCCCAGTCACACCCGTGTGTGGACTCTGGCTTTCTCGGGGTGTCTCGGGGGGGGGGGCGGGTGTCTTCCCTCCTTGGGGTGGACGGCTGGACGGACCGGTTTGGAGGAGGTGAGGGGAAAGGCCAGCCCCCAGCGCCGCGGGCACAGCAAGACTGGCACAGAAAGCCGTGCTCCCGGTTCCCAGTGTGGGCGAGGCCAGGGCAGGGGCCGAGGCGAGGGCGGGGAGAAGCCTGGACCTGTCACCAGAGGCCCCTGGGCAAAGTCCTGGCCCATCCTCCACATGCGGGGTGCCGGGCCCTTTCCCCACCGAGCGGGCCCCTGCCCTCGCCGGGCCGTGGCAGGAACGGTGCTGCCGAACCAGGAACTGCCACCCAGACACCCACACGTGGGCAGGGCTGGCCACGAGGCTCCTAGTGTTGGCTTCGGCCCTGAAACCCGACCACCTCGCTCCCCAGCTGCCCTCGGTGGCTGGCCGGCGCGGACCACACAGACGACACCGAGGCCAGGTCAAGGGAATTAAATAACGAGTGATTTTATTTCATTAGAGACAAAACCAGCAGCATCACCGCCTGAGCCCTCACCCCACCCCCCCCCCCCTGCCCCCGCCCCCGCTTCTGCCTAATGTCGGTAATGGGGACTTCGAGACCGGGACCTTGAGCGCCTGCAGAGAGAAAGAGGGGCCCCCCGTGAGGGCTTGCACGCACACATGCACACCAACACACTCGTGACCACCGGGGCATCGGTGATGATCAGGGGAGCAAGCTGCAGAGGGAGGGATGTTAACAAGGCTCGAGGCCAGCCTGTGCAACTGGGGCAGAGATGGAAGAATCAGGGCAGGGACAAGGTCATCTTCCAGGGCGCTGGGCTGGCGAGCTTACCTTCGGGAAGAGCTGTATTCTCGACCTGCAAAGAAAGAACAAAGCCAGTGCTCAGGGGCCGGGCCCCGGGGCTGCCTCTAGCCGAGGCGACCCCTGTGCCTCCAGCCAGGCCCCTTGGCCTACTCCAAGGCCTGGCAACAAGCATTGCTTCTAATGCCTGCCTTTTTTCCCTCGTGACTAAAGCCATCACGTCAAGTGTGTGTCTTAAGAATTGTAATTCCTGGAGAGCTAAGGAGGAAACCGTACCGTGCTTCTGAGATGAGAGCTGCGGGCTGCACGGCCGTGGGGTACTCACTGTAACGGGGGGAGGGCGAGCGGCTCTGCCGGCTGTACTGACGCTCCCATTCCTCTCGCTCCTTCTCTCTGCGTTCCCGCTCCCTGCAGGGGAAAGGGACGGAGCCCAGGGGCAGGCGTGAGCACGCAGCCAGAACACTGAACTTGAGGGTGTGGCCGGGTTGCCTGCCCAGAGCAGCTGCGTCCAACATCGCGGTCCAAGCGGCAGAGCAAACCCGGGGCAGACAGGGCTGCTGTCCTTGCTTGGGAATGAGAGCGCTGGGCTCGGAGGGATGCAGGCTGGGCAGAGCCAGGACTGGAGCCTCAGTCGGCCTTGCTTTGAAAGGCTTGCTCAACACACGGGATCGAGCTGGAAAATTCGACTTTTCTCCGTCACGCTCAGGTAGTCTCACAACACAGGGACTCACACACACTAAGTGCTTCCTCGGCCTTTGTCAGGCTGCCCGAGGCTCGCGACCCCAAGGGCTGTATTTCTTGGGCCCCTGCTACTCGCCTGTTCCGGATCTGAATCCGCCCAACAAGCCTGTGGGCTGGGACAACTATTCCATCCCCATTTCACTGATGAGCAAACTGAGGCCCAGACAAGAAAGCGGCCCACAACTGGTGGGCAGCAGAGGCAGGATCCGAACTTGGGATCTGACTGACCACAATGCCGAGTCCCCCGGCACTCTTGCTTCCCCACCCGACGGAGGCAGGCAGCACCCTCGGGCCCAGCACACGACAGCAATAAGCAGGAACAGTGACGATACACCCAGCACCCTGCTGACACGCTAGGCACCGCGCGGGAAGCCCTGCAGCAGGGGCCCCAGGAGAGGAAGAGGGAGTCTCGGCTCCGAGGACCCACAAACAAGCGGCCGGTGACCTAGCCCCACCACTGACAGACCCACCTCCACCCCAGCACAAGCGGGCCTGTGCTTTCCCAGCACTCCTCCCCGAGCTGCCCCGCGAGGTCGTCACTGAGTTCTGTCCTGGCTGCGGAGGCTGGGGTGAGGCCTGAGAGGGCCAGCGCCCACCCCTGGGGCCCCAGAGTCACAGGACAGAGGGACAGAGCCGGGACTGGACTCCACGGCTGCCCGGTCCAGGACGTGAGCCTGTTCGCTTTAGAGCAAAGACCCAAGCGACATAAGGGGAACAGGGTGGAGCCCCGCCCCAAACTGGGAAGAACCTGCCGCAGGGCTGGCTTGCTGAGCACCATCTCTGAACTGGGGGCTGGGCACAAAGCAGGAACCCGGCAGGCGGACCTGCCCTCTCATCCCCTCTCCCGAGACATCAACGACAAGCAAGGAAACAAAATGGGGCGTGCCAGGCGGGAGTCAGCGCTCTGAAGAAAACAGAGCAGGCGCAGAGGATGGAGCGTGTTGGCGTGCTACTCTAGACAGGACGGTCAGGGAGGGCCCCCGACGAGTGAAGCCAAGGAGAACACAGAGGCCCCATGCAGCCGGGGCCGGCACGGCTGGGAGGGGCCGCAGCAGCTGGACCGAGCAAGCTGACAGAGGGCCGGGCGGGCGCATGGGCGTTCTCCCACCCCGAGGGCTAGCGTGGGCAGCAGGGCCAGGAGCCAGCTGGTGGGGAACAGTGGGCAGCCCAGAAGCGGGGGGCCGTGGCCCCGGATATGGGGAGTGCGATGGTCTTACTTCATGCGGATCTTGCGGGCCATGGCTCGAAGCTCGTCTTCCCGCTCCTGTGGCAGACGTGGCTGTGAGGGCGGGCCGACCGGCCTGCTACCCCGGTCCCGCACCCCTCACTGCCGCCCTTACCTGGCGCTCATGCTCCTGCTGTATCATCTTCTCCTGGGCTGCCTTCTTATCCGCCTTGACTGTGGGGAAGGAGAGACGTGGTGGCTGAGGAGGAGCCCTCAAAAGCATCCCCCCTTCCCAGATGCCAAAACTGAACCCAGAGAGGCCAACTGGATGGCCACGGCCCTTAGCATGGGGGCAACGGAACGGCACGCACACCAGCTCCTCCCCCAAAGTGCCACACCTCATTGACGCCTGCCTGTCCAGGAGCGGGCGGGCAGGGCGCCCCCCCGCAAGGCCAGACTGGCAGGCAGAGGAGCAGAGCAGACCGGGGACGGGGTGGGACGTACATTGCCTGTTCAGTGCTTTCTGCATCCTCAGCTTCAGCTTCTCCTGAGGCGTCAGCTTGGGCTGGGGAAGGGGGAGAAGAGGTGGGAGAGGGGGTGGGTGTCCGGAGCTCCCACCACCCACCTCAGCCAAGAGCCTGGGACTTGCGGGGGAACGTGGGGCGGAGGGACCGGCCGCAGATGCCCACCACCAGGGGTCTGGGAGGCCTGGGGACAGCTGGAGCCCCAGTGGGCAGGGAGGAGGGGAGGGGGACATGGAACCTGACAGGGCAGAGCATTCCCAGCCCACTTCAACCCCAGGGATGGATCTCCCGGCCCCCCGCCCCCCCCCGGGTCCCCCCTGCAGGCCCACCGGGCCCAGCTCTCGGGCACTGCTGCTGGCGGGAATTAGACGGGCGAGTTCCAAATTCTTACTGACTTTGGCAGCTCCTGTCTCTTTACCAGCGGCAGGTTCGGTCCTGGGAAGAAGAAAGGGAGGCTGCACCTTGGACCCTGGGCCACCTCAGCACTGCCCTCAGACCAGACAGGCGAAGCCCTGGGCCTCAGACACCCCCCCACCCCGGGGAGGGACTGTGCCCCCACTTGGATCCCTCAGGCCACGGCCGTGTTCCTTGCACGGCCAGACCCCCAGGGGCAGAGCGCTGTCCCCTTCGGACGCCCCAAGGCAGGAGCTCCCTTGAGAAAGAGAACAGTGGAGCTCAGCCACCCTGCGCCACCCCGCCCTCCCGACTCACTTTCTCAGCTTCTCGCCCACAGCGGGGGACGCCGGCGGCCTGGTGGGCTTCTCTCTCGGGGGCGACGGCGAGCGGCTGCGGCTGGGGCTGGGGCTGCGGCTGCGGCTGCGGGACGGGCTGCGGCTGTGGCTGCGGGACGGGCTGCGGCTGCGGGACGGGCTAAGGGACCAGCTGCTGCGGCTGCGGCTGCTGCTGTGGTGTCGGGGGCCCCGGCCGCCCCGTCGGTACCGGTCCCCGGAGCGGGAGCGGCTCCTGGGCGCACGGCGGGAGGGGGACCGTGAGGAGCCAGGGACCCCCACTCGGCATACCCCTGTCCCAGCTCCGAAGCTACAGCGCCCCCCCCTCCCCCACTAGGCCCCGCAGTAGGTCAGTAGGTCCGGGGCTGACCCCCCGCTCCTCCCCCGCTGCTCCCCGGCTTCTCCCTGGCCCCGCTCCACGTCTACACAGAGCCCGCCCTCCAGATACAACCACCCCGAAACGGCTCCTCGCTCCTCACTCATGACACACACTCACCAGCTCCCCTGGGAGGCGACCTCTGGGAGGGCGGGACCTGGCTGACCAGCGCCCCCCCCTCCCCCGCTTACCCATGGTGCCCGGCTCTGGGCACCCGGGGGCCGTGACCTCATCCCCCTCCTCACCTTGCTAGGGTCCAGCGGGGACCACCCCCTCGCCCACTCTCCCCACCAATCTACAGCATAGACCCACAAGACCCCGTCAGGAGACGTGCGGCCCCACCCTTTCTCCACTCAGGACCCTGGGGGCTCCTCAGCAAGGGCGCTCCCTCAGGCAGGGGTTCAAGATGTGGTCAGACCCCCTCCTTCCCCCAGGCCTTTCTCCTGTAGTCGCCCTGGGTCAGGCTACAGGGATTGACCTGGAAGCCAAGTCTAGGCCATACATGGATTCTGCTGGGGCTGGCCAACTTTTTACAAAACTCCAATTTGTGGGCAATGCTGAGAAAACGAACTATCCTTTAACAATCCAGACTCTCAACTGCTCATGAGAAACACAAAACGGGGCGACGTCGGGCCCACCACTGCACATCCGACGACGTGACTGGATGGGACACGTGGACCCCAGTCCCCCCGGGCCCACCTGGCTCCTTTATTTTACCTGCCAGCCCCAACAGAAAGCTAACGCTGAGATGCATGCCACAGTACAAGGGACAATGTTGGTGGCGGCAGCAGTCGCCCAACACTAGGCCCTGGAGCCAGCATTCAAGTATGTTGTCACACCTTCCCAACGACTCCACAAAGGAAGCACTGTCCTTATTTTACACATGAAAAAACCGAAGCCCAGAAGTTTCCGAGCGGAGCCAGGATTTGAAGCCAGGCTCCCCCGCTGAGCCAGCCTCTGTGGCACAGGCAGGCCTGATCCCGCCAAGCAAGAACCCAGGAAGGATGCTCCACTCCCTAGATGCCTCGTTTCCTACCCCGTCTGCAGCGCCTCTCTACCGGCGGAGCACCCCAGCCCTAGAGGCCAGCCGGGTCCCCACTGCAAACCACAGGACACCCTGAGCATCCGCACACCTGTCTACACCCACAGCGGGAACTCCCCACAAGAGGACCAGCTCGGTCCCCTGGGAACGTGGCTGTGCGCCAGCCCACGTCACCACACGTGGGGAGCAGAGGGAGCACACCTCCCCTGCAAACCGAGCGCTTCCTCACAGAGTGGCTGTGGCCTGGTCCCCTCCTTCAGAGCCAAGGCTGGCTGACATGGGGCCAGGCCTCCCCCCCAGGCCCCTCCCCCGTCCGTGCCACCCACCTGCTTCTGCGCCGGGGCCCGTAACCACCGCGCCGGGCAGGCGAGCGGGAGTACCGGTGTCCATCTCGGGAGCCCCCCCCCGAGTGCCGCCGGCCGCGGCTACGGGACCGCGAATAGCGCCGGGAGCGGGACCGAGAGCGGGACCAGGACCGAGAGCGGGAGCGCGCGTGGCGGCCAGAGCGGTAGTAGCCCCCGCCGCGGCGGGAGCGGGAGCTGGAGCGGGAGCTGGAGCGGGAGCTGGAGGTCCTCGAGGCAGAAGAGGAAGAGGAGGAGGAGGAGGAGGAGCGGCGGCTGCAGGCGGGGCACGGAGGGCCGGTCAGCACGGGCCTGGGCCAAGGCCCCCCACTGCCCCGCGTCCCCCCCCACGGTGGCTGGGGCGTAGGGCGGGCGGCGTGAGCGTTACCGACCGGGCGCTGGCATTACGTCCCGGTGCGGGGCCGCCGGGCTGGGGGGGTGCGGGGGCCTTCCCTGTGGTGGCCCCAGATGCGGCTGCTGCCGCTGCAGCTGCTGCCGCCTCCTCGTCGCTGCCCCCAAAACTGGTGATGAACGTGATCTTCTCCTCGCGGCCTGGGGTCGGGGAGCGCGAGCGGGAGCGGGACTCGGAGCTGGATTCGGAGGGTGACCTACGGGGCAGGGCAGAGGGCCTCAGCTGCCAGGGTCCCTGGGAGCCCACCGGTTAACCACGCACAGTGCAGGGCCCCGGAACCGCGGCCAGCATGGCACCGAGCACCGCCGGACACCCAGCATGAAAAGAGCCGAGGGGCCAAAAGGAACCCAGCCGTGCAAGGGTTTGACTCCGCCGTGGAGCCTCCGCAAAATAAGCAAGAAAGTGAGCGACAACAAGCTGGACCGATTCTGTGTCACTATTAAAAAGGGATGAGCAGATCTACAGATTTAACCTCGAAAGATCACTTCAACACAGACGTCCATGAAGCAAGTTCTACAACGCAAAGTGTGGCACGATTCCATTGTTATAAAAGGAAAGTACCCCTGTCCTTGGATTGAGTGTTTACCTGTGCCTGACCTTATACCCAAAGGCACCTGCCTCATCTCCTATGCTCCCACAAACCCAGACAGACAGTCCCCTCCCACTGCATGCGGACGAGCACAGCAGGGTCAGGCTGATGGCTGTCCACCCTCAAGGCCCCTGCCCCATCACTCCCACATCCCGGAGACACGCGTGTGCAAGGCCAGGCCCTCCTGTGCAATCTCTCACTGCTTACTTCTGGGAGTTTAGATCAAAGGGACTTCTGATTTCTGTATCAAGCCCTTCTGCCACGCTGGGTCATTTTTAACACACGACTACGTTGTGTTTAAATCAAAACATTAAAGAAGGTTCACATTTAAAGGAAAAAAGATTGGGAAAAGCAGAGTAACGTTCTGGAAAGCAGAAAAACGATTCAGACCCACAGATGACACTGGGTGCTAAGAATCGTCCCATTCCCCCCAAAACACACTGCTCTTCCCCCCTCTACTCCCCCTCCCGCCCCTTCTCCCCAGCCATACCCCTCCATCAGGTTTGCCAGCTGCCCCTCCTCAGGCCCTGGGAACTCACCGCTTATAGGGGTCGTAGGTGGGGCTGTCTCGGCGGGCATAGCTATGGAGAAAAGCAGGGTAGGACAAGCAGGGGCTTGGGATCCGAGCGGGCATGGAACTGCGCCCACTCACCCAACCAAGGAGCCCAGGGTCAGGTACCGGGCACTGTCAGGAGGGGGCTGCTGGCCAGGATTTAGGCCCTGCCTTGATCCTTCTGTGCACCCCACCTCTGATCTGTCCGAAGCCTGAACCTTGGCCACACCCCGCAAACTACGTCCTGGGCCCCTCCCGACCCTGAGCAACAGGGACTCCAGCAGCCTGAGTCCTGCTTAAGCTCTGGACCCCAAGCAGAAGCACCCCTCCTGCCCCTCCAAGTCCCTGGCTCTGCAACCTGGGTCCTGGCTCGTAAACAAGGACGATGGGAAAACTAGAAACGCCACGGTGTCTTGGATGCTCACAACATGCTGCACACTGAGCACTTTACTTCCACGAATGCAGCTGTTCTTCACAACTCTCACACGGCTGCTGGGGTCCCTCACAGCTCAGAGCTCACGAGACCGAGGCCCAGAGCGGTGGAGTCACTTGCCCAGCGCCACACAGCTCATAAACGAAGGAGCTGGGCTCCCAAGCCAGGCCCCGTGGCCCCCAGCCCACGCCTTTACTCACTACATGGACTGCATCCCTACGGGAAGCAGGATGATGGCGAGAATCAGTGCGGCTTTTCCGGACCCCACACCGAGCCCTGAGCCCACACCAGGCTGCTTAAGCCCCACAGCTACCCTGAGGGACTCTCCTTGTCTGGAGGCAGTGCAGCAAGAGGCCTGGGTTGGCACTGGGCCTCCAGCGCTAAGAGGCAGCGGCAGGCTCATCTGGAGGCCCCTCGACCTAGGCCGACTCTCCACACCACACCAGACCGCCTCCTCCCAACCTGCCCCAGACCTCAGAGTGGGCACTGGTGCGCCCCCAATCCTGGGAGGTGACGGTGCCTCTTTTCCAAAGGAGGAAACTGAAACCCAAGGGAAGTCACTTGCCCCCGATCTGACAAGGACACGGCCCAGGAGGAGAAGCAGGAAGAAGTTCGGGGACAGGGCCGTTCCCTTGATTCTGCCCTCAACTCTTCGGCTGCCCCGCACCACCTCCCCACTTGTGCCTGCGACACCCGGCAAGAGTCCAAGTCCAGCGGGGGAGGGGGGTTGGGGTGCGGGGTGGCAGCTGGCGGAGCAGGGTGTCCACAAGGCCATCCCTACCCTAAGGCTTCCTTGTTTCCTGCCCTACCAGGGGGACTCTGTTCACAGGCCCAAGCCTGGCCCCAAAGAGTCTCCTTGAGCCCCAGCCCCTCCCCCAGAGCCCCGAATGAGGCTGGCAGGGCAGCCGCACAGAAGACTGCCCAGCCTACCTGGGTGGGCTGATCTTCCGGCCCCTCAGTCGCTTCTCCCGGAACTCCCTCCGCTGGCGCCGGGAGCGACGGCCCTGGAGGAGGGCGGGCACCATGCTGGTGAGAGATGTGCCCTCCCTGGGGCACCCCCCTGCCTCCCCCCCACCCCACCCTGGCCCAGCCCTCACCGAGTACATGGCCTTCTCTTCCTCAAGGGCCTTGGCGTGCTTGATCGCCTCCGCCTCCTCTTTGTCTTTCCGGAGCATCCTGCAGAGGGACAGGGGGGTCACAACGAAGGAGGGGGCAGGCCACAAGCAGTGAGGGATCCCACTCCATCCTGGGGTCTCTGATTCGTGCAACACTATTACCGAGTGCCTGCTGCGTGCAGATGCTAGTTTATGGATTGGGGATTCACTACTGAAAATAAACAAAAATCCTGGCCCTCACGGGCTCATGTTCCAGAAGACAACGGCCCAGGTAACGTGGCGACATGTAGTATGCTAAACGGTGAAAACCCGGCCGGGAAGAGACATTGTAGACGGGAGAGGAAGTACCAGCGGACAGGCAGAAATGCTACGGCTTTCAACAGGGAGGTCGGGGAGCCACACAGGGAAGGGGACAGCTGAGGAGAGCCACGGGGAGCACGCAACACAGACTCCTGCAGCAGCCCGGAAATCGGGGGGCCTAGGGAGTGAGGAGGCGCGGAGGCTGCGCTGCGTGTGGGTGGAGGAGCGGAGGGCCAGACGGGTAAGACCTCGTGGCTGAGGTGAGGACCCTGGCTGCCTGGGTGACGGGGCCGTCATGGAGGGCTCTGAGCAGAGGGTGCTGGGTTCAAACGGGCTCACTCAGACTCCGACTCACTACTGTGTTAGCCGGGGCTGCTGTATGGGATCCACACAGGCAGTGGCCCACGGAAGGGGCCGGGTCAGCAGCTGCCAGGGAACCATCTGCTGATCGAAGCCTGCTCTCCACCAGGGGGAGCCGTCCACCAGGCCCAGGAGCCCCGGGAGCTTTTAGGGGTCAGACGGCCACAAGCCACAGGGAGCTGGGTGCCGCCCGGTGGTCAGTACCCATCCCAGGAGCCCGTGTGTGGGAGGCCCGGGGCCGGGCACACTCGTGCTCAGGACCAAAGTGGCGGTCAGCAGCAGGGATAACGACCCACGCCAGCAGGCCTCACCTGACAAAGTCGCCGTCGGCCATGCCATAGGTCGTGGCCTGCTTGTTGAGATCTGCCACCTGTTCCTGGTTCAGTTCGTCCACATCCACCTCCACGTCTGCACCAAGAGAAGGGCTGTCAGGGGCCAAAGCTGAGCGAGAGGACCGGGGGGAAAGGGGCAGGGCCCCGGGAGGTGGGGGCACGAGGGGATGCCCACCAGACCGGAGGCCTCTGCAGGCAGGGAACGAGTCCGCTCACTCATCTCGGCATCCCCAGGCAGGCGTGGGGCTTGGCCGGAGGCAAGGGGCGGTGGGGGGGGGGGGGGGAAGAGATGCAATGGATGAGGGCCCAAATGAGCACTGGGATGGACGGGCGAGACCAGTGGACAGTGCGACGTACGACGTGTGGACACGGACGGATGGGCGGTGGGTGAAGATCTGAGTGGGTGGGTGGGAGGCGGGGGGTGGGGTGTGGGTGGCAGGTGTTTAGGAGCCAGACGCACTATGAAGAAGTGGAAGGGGGGATGGATGCCTTCCGCATGTGTGGTAAGCAGCAGCTGGCTGAGAGGAGGAGGGGGAGACAGGTGGATGGCTGGAGCCACGGGGATTTGGGTAGGGGGTGAAAGGCAGGGTGGGGGAGGGGGGAAGGATGGTTCTAGAACTGAATGAACACTTGGTTCTCCAGAGAACACAGAAAAAGAGGAAGATGGAGAGGCTGACCCAAGAGGAAGAGAACGGAGACAGAACCTAGGTGGGAACAATACCATAGAAGCAGTGTCCTAGAAATGAGAGCAGACAGACAGAGGGAAGCCAGCACAGAGGAGCACACGAGCGAGACAGGGAGGGCGGCAGAGGCTGGAGCGCCCCAGAGCAGGGGCGGGACAGACGGGGCTCCTAAGTGCGGGGTGCCCCACAGAGGGTGAGGAACAAGACACGAAAACGATGCCCAGGGACTGCGGGGTGGGGGAGGGCAGAGAGGGGACCCCACCGATGTCGGGGATGACCTCATCTTCGTCCGAGTTGCTTTCCTCCTCGGCCGCTGACTCCTCCTCCTCTGGCTTCTCCGCTACCTTCTCTACCTCGGCCACGGTGCTGTCCTCGTAGGTGTAGCCAATGGAAGCCTTCTTCTCTGCCAGCCTGGGGCGGGGAAGCCCGTGAACAGGAGGGCCACGGGCAGGACAGAGCCCAGAGCCAAACCTCGAGGGCACATGGACTCCCCGAGCTCCAGCCTCTGGAGGGCGCCCTTGCCTGCGGCCCCTGACGCGCGCTCTCCCTCAGCCTAGAACCTTCCGCACCTGCCTCCCACCAGCCCCTCCCTCTTCCCCCAAGCTCCAGCTCCAGTGTCTCCAGGAAGATGTCCCCCAGGCAGGGTCAAGCACCATCCTGAGCTCCTCAGTCCCACCCACGTGGGGTCCTGACTGTCGGGGGACAGATTTGTCTCCCCCTAGCAGACTAAGCTCAAGAGGGCAGGACGCAGAATTATCTTGGGTAACAATGTGGCCCAGCTTTGCCCAGGACAGAGGAGGGGCCTCATGCATATGTGTCGCTAAATTAATTTAGTCAACGTTCCCAGACGTCCCTCGAGTGCCAGCCTCCTCCTGAAAGTGGGCTCATGAGTGGGGAGCAGTCATCAAGAAGCTTCCGTGGCATCCGTGGAAACTCCAGGAGGAGGAGAGCAGCAAGTGCTTAGGCTCACAAAGGGGAAGCCTCGGCAGCACGAGGCAGCAGGGAAGGGAGTGAGGCTCCAGCACTGCTGAGAACAAGGGGGCCACCCCGGCCGAGGGAACGAAGAGAGAAGAGAGACTGCCCGCCGGGGACCTCCTTGAGCCAGAGGCGGCTCCACGTGAGGCCCTGCCTCCCCCCGCCGATGGACACGGCCCTGAGGAGCCCCTCTCTGGGGCGACACTGGCTGCTACTGAGCGCATGCAGGGCAGGCACAGGACAGGCGATCCACAAGCTCCGTCTGCTGCAGGAAGGGGGGCTCCTGCAGGCCCGTGATGCAGGGGAGTGCCCCCCAAAGCTCAGCGAGGGAGTCTTCGCGGGCAGGGTACAAACCCGGGCCTGGGTCTGCACGCGGCCGGCTCCGCGGACTGCACCTCCCACCGACCCCCATGCCAGAAATGCGACGCAGACGTTCTGCAGCAAATTCCCTCCTTTGGCCACCACTTCCCCTTCTAAGCGTATACTAAGTGAGCACCTACTGTGTGCCACACGCTGGCCCTGACTCTGGGAAAGCCGAGGGGGACAAGGCAGAGGAGGCCGTGCCCTGGTGGGGCACACATTCCTCCCGCCTCCCCAACGCCAGCATGCCCCCAGACCCCAACTCACTTCTTCTTCTCATCCTCGCTGGGCCTCTGGAGGCCTCCGTACAGCTCGTCAATGTAGATCTGGTACAGACACTGCTCCTCTGAGACTGTAGCAAGGCAAGCAGCAGGAGGGTCGGTGGGGGGGGGGGGTCACTAGGAACTTGGGGGTGGGGTGGGGGACACAAGAGTGAGTGCCTGGCCCGGGGGCAATGCTACTATTATCCCCGCAAGGGAGGCCTTTGGGTGGACCCTTCCGAACTACAAACTTCTCCTGAGCGCTGGATGTCAGCGGGACTCCAGGGGCCACTCCACTGCGGGCCTCTCTGTGGTTCCGTTTAAACTACCGGTGTTTGGAGCCATCTGGGTTCTCGTTTACCCACAACACCTGACCTGGGGAGCTTCCCACTGTACCCCAGCCCTCCCTGATCTTCCCTGCAATGAAACGCACGGCCCCGACTGGCTGTGGGGCCCTGGGCAAGTCCCCTTCCCTCTGCGGGTCTCAGCTTTTCTGTCAAGTCAGGCGGGTGGGCTGGGCGCAGAGCCCCATCCCTTGCTCCCGCAGCAATGCCCCTCGCCGGTTCCCACCTGTGGCACACAAAGCCCGGGCAGAGAGGGCTCGGCCGGCCTGTCTCACCCGAGCTGCCACCCTGTTCCGGCCCTGCAGGCCGCCTGTGCCCACCCTCCCACAGGCCTCTTCTGCAGCCTCCTCCTCCTCCTCACCAGAGCTCCTCCCCCCACACCCCCCACCCCGACCCCAGCCTCCGTCAAGCACCTCAGAGAAGAGCCCACCGTCTGTTAGATCACCACCTCAGCCTGCAATCGCCACCCGCTTTGGTGACTGTGCGGCTGCTGCCCTCTCCCCCACGAGACCCCCGACCCCAGAGGCGCGCCAGCCACACCACAGGTGCTCAGGAACGATGGCAAGGGACGAATGCGGAGTCAGACCGAACTAAGGGAAACCCTAGCTCCATGGCCAAGAACCCCTGTGGCCCTGGGTGAAGGCAAAAACAGCAACAGTATGAAACATGATAAAGTTCCCTGGTTCTAAGGCCTCGCTGATTGCTAGAATTTTGGCGAACTTTGGTATCAGAGACAAAGAAACAAGGGAATAGCAAACCACAGCAGGGGCTGACCGTGCCAGGCTCGGGGCCAGGCATTCACACGCCCCTCGCTGGGCCCCTACAACCACCCTGGGGGACAGAAACCATCATGACCACCCTTCTCTGGGAGGAGACCGAGACCCACCAGGCGAAGGGCCTCGTGTGGTCCATCTTCCCTTTGACCCAATAGGGAAACCCTAGGAGGGGACGTCTCAGCCCTTAGGAGGTGAGCTAAAGCTTGGAGCTGTCCATCAAGAGGCGGCGGTGGTTAAGGGCGGGGTGAGAATCCCAGCTCCTTGGACACAATGTTCCCACCAACTCCGGAGCCTCAACGTCCTCACCCGTAAAATGGGTGCCACCGGTGGGTGGTTGTGCCAATGTGATGAGATAGAATACCGACAAAAAGGTCCAAAGTCTGTCAGGGCCCGAACCTCCCCAGGCAAGCCCAGAGCGGGGAAAACCGTGAGCCTGTTTTCTCATTTGTGAAGCAGCATGGTGACAGCTCGGAGAATGACACCGACTTATACAAAAGCTTGCCAGATTGCCAAACTCTGTCTAACTATTCCTAAACAATTCCTAAAAGAAATTTCCTCTTCACAAGTGATATTCCAACCCAAACAGGCTGGGGGAAAGACAGAGGGAACACAATGTGTTCTTGCTATTTTCCCCAATTTTTTAGGACAAAAGACCAGAGAGGCAGAGGGTGTGGGATACAGAAGTGACCCCAGCAGGACCATCTTGCTCAGCAGACTCGGCCCGTACTGGGTCCAGAGAAGGAGGCCTGAGAGAAAAGAGCGGGGAGCAAACCCGAGGTCCCGGAGGAGAAAGCACTGGGGTAAAAGTGGCCTCCCCATGTCCACGGACGCCCGACCCGCCTGCCATGCCCCAGCTCACTCACTGCCGGCAAAGTCGTTCTGCACCAGGCCTCGGTAGCGCTCGTAGTTACATTTCCGCTCGTCTGACTCCTGTTCTGGGGAGCTTTGGGGGAGGCCAAAGTCTTGAGATCAGAGGGAGAGGGGAGGCCCCACCCGAAGCCAGCAGGAGTGAGGTTGGAGGAGACTGGCTGGGGCTGGGAGGCTCCCCGCCGGCACACCTCCTCCTTCCCAGGAAGGGAACAGGTGGGCAAGGGCTTGGGAAAGGAGAGGCAGCAGGGCGCAGACTCCCTGCTGGGCAAGCCTGAGGGGTGGTGGCTTACATGGTGGTGAGCAGTGGGGGCGTGTAGTCAGGGATGTGGTCAAGGTGGGCGCGGACATCGAAGCGGTCAATCATGTTGTTGGTGTCCCCCTGCCAGGGCATCCTGAAATGGGGAGCAAGGAGTTGAGGGTCCCCAGTGTCCACATCCGTTCCCTGTCACCTCAAGCTCGGGAGCCTGGCCCTCAGTTCCCTGTAATTTTCCAGGCCATGGGCCCCACACCCTCACCCCCCTGCTTCTCAGTCTCTTATGTCACTAATCCCCCTGAATCCACATTCAGGCTCCTGGCCTGACTAGGATCCTGGGAAACTGGGGCCCTATTTCTCAGAACCAAGCAAGAGTGGGAAACTCGAACCAGGTCTCAGGGGCCACTTCCTAAGCCCCGGTCACTTTGAAACATCCCCTCTGGCAACGTACCTGCCATGTCACCTGGGCCTGTGGTCCTGGCTCCACCCATTCCCCTCTAAGGCCCCCAAGCACCCCTGCACCCTGGGGCCTCCGTCCTAACCCCTGCCAGCTATCCTCGGCTGGTGACTGTCAGCTCCTCATGCAGGGCAGGCCGTCCTTGCTTGAGTCCCCACAGGTCTCTCCACACCCCAGGTCCCTCCTGACCTCCAACCCTCCCCCTTCTCCGTCTTACATGTTAACGGGGCTCTCGGCGGCCAGGGCGACTGCAGAATCCAGGTGCACCTTGCACGCTCGGCCGTGCACCTGCAGGAACTGCGCTGGGTCCTTCTTCTGCGGGGAGAGACAGTGTGGAGGTCACCAACGCGCTGAGCTCCAGACCCTGCCACCCCCGCGCAACCCGGCTCAGCAGCAAGTGCACCTCTGTCAAGTGGGCCATGCCTCAGAGGTAAACTAAGCTGCACGGGGGTGGCAGCACTCACGGGGGCCACCTCAGTTCTAGGGACAGGGGACCTTGAGATGGTGGAGAAAGGCTCTGGGCTCTGGCCCAACCTTCTGTACAGTCAGTACCAAGACCTTCTGCCCCAAAAATATAATTCCCCAAATCACCTGCCTCCCCCAATCCCGGGTCACTCATTCGGAGCCAGGTGTGAGCACTCTGGCCTAGACCGGCCTCTAAGACCCCGGAACCACGTGAGCACAGGCAAAGATGATCAGTGTCACTACTCATCAGAGAAATGCCAACGAGAACCATGAGACACCACTTCACACTCACTAGGACAGTGAAAACGGAAAGGACAGACGTGAACAACGCTGACAAGAAGGTGCAGAAAATGAGTTCTTCAACAAAGAACTGGCCTAAGACCCAGCAACTCCACCCTTAGGAATATACCCGCCAGAACCGGAAACAGAATACACCAATACTCAAGCAGCACGACTCACAACGGCCAAAAGATGGAAACGATCACGTGGCCAGCAATGGATGGCCAATAAACAAAACCTGGTATGTTTAGACCACGGAACCTTGTCAATAACGAGGAGTGAAGAACTGACGTGCTACAACGTGGACGAACCTTGAAAACAGAACGCTCAGTGAAAGAAGTCGGTCAAAAAGGCCACATGTTACAGGATTCCATTTATGTGGAACGTCCAGAATAGGCAAATCCATAGAGACAGAAAGGGGATGAGTGACTGCCCAGGGCTGGGAAGCTGGGGGGGACTGACTGCTAATGGGTATGGGGTTCTTTTTGGGGTCATGAAAATTTTCTAAAATTAGGTGATGGATGCACCCCCCCGCCCCGTGAATATTCTGAAAACCACAGAATCATATGGTTTGTGAATTGTACCTCAATAAAGCTGTTACGAAGGCACCAACATAGAGGAGCGCGTCCCCTGAGTCTATGCTCCTCCAGCCTGAGCCCTTGTGTGGAGGTCAGGATTCCAAGTGTGGCAGGAAAGGGCAGAATCTAGCACCAGCACTCCCACTGCTGAGCCTCCCGAGCGCCGGGCCCTGGCTGGGCTCCTGCTGCGGGCCACATCCGAGGAACCCACCAGAGCCACGAGAAGGGCTACTGCTACTATCCACTGAATGCTGGCCAAGCTCCCAGCAACACCTCCCCAGGGTCCAACCACCCCCCCTCGCCACAAGCTGGTCCAGCCAGCCTGTCTCCAGCCCAGACCCCTTGGCAGCCTCTTCTTGGGCTCCCTGCTGTCAGCCTGCCCTCCGCAGTCCATCTCCCACACAGGGCCTGGGGCGGGGGGGCTGCTAAAACCTATCAGGCCACATCCCTCTCTGACTTCTCTCCCCCACCTCTGCTCCAGACATGCCGGCTTCCACAGCACTCCGTGACCACTCCACTCATGCTCCACTCGGGACCTCAGTGCTCGCTCTTCCCTCGGCCTGCAAAGCTCTGGCAGGTGGCTGCCCCCCGGCTTATTTCAGATCTCTTTCTAGAAGCCTTCCTCATCAACTCTAAGTAGTTTCCTGCACAAGTGCATACTTACTCTCGATCTCCTTAACCCCACCTGTTCTCTTCACAATGCCTGCCACTACCCGGTTTCCCACCTTACATTCATTTATCAGTCGTCTCCCACACTAGAACATAACTTACATGAGGCAGGGATCGCTGCTCTGTTCACCACTGTATCCCCAGTGCCCGGAGCAGGGCCCGCCCCACAGCATGCGCTCAGGAGCACTGACTCAAGGGAAGAGAGAATGAATCCTGACCGATGAGGAGACTGAGCCCCCAAAACCCACAGCATCAAATTCCCAAAACCCTGCACTTCCTCACTGCCTCCACCTCCCACCCGCAAAGGGCTGAGAAGGACACTCACCGACGACCACGGCTAATGCTGGGCTACTGTCCATCCTGCACTAGCCACGTGCCAGGCTGTTCCCACTCAGCTGAGATGCAATCCGCCCACCACCACAGAGTCCAGCAGGGGTGGTGCTGCGGGAATCCAGCTGCTTGTCCCGCACCTCACTTCCCTCCCTCAATGCCTCGTCTCAGGCCCCATAGCTCCCTCAGCCCCGTGACAGGCCCTGGGGCTGTTGCAGGCCCAATGCCCAGGTCCCACAGCCATCGCGGGACCCTGCTTGCAATAAGTGCCCTGACTGGTCCAGGGAAGCCGCAGGCTGTGCCAGCAACCGAAGAAGGGAAAAAGCATCGGGCTGGGTATAAAAATCTAAGTCCAGGGCCTGGCTCTGCTGGGAGATTCTGGAAAAGCCAATGAACTGTCCTAAAAGACAGGCCCCGAGCTGTTTTATGTATATTTTCTCAAACTTCTCAAGCATGGGACAAAGGTTAGCAGTGTTCCCAACGAGGAAACTGAGGGGTGTGGCCCACTCGCTTGAAATCATGCCAGTAACACACAGAACTAGGATTTGAACCCAAATGGGCCTGACCCTCAAATCCACTCCTTTTTATTTAAAAGTAATTTTTTTTTAATTCTGGTGAAAGGCGTATGATAAAAAATCTACATTAACTACTTTTCTCTTTTTTAAGATTTTACTTAAATATTTGATACAGCACAAGCAGGGACAGGGGCAGAGGGAGAAGGAGACTCCCCATGGGCGGGGCTCAATCCCAGGACCCTGGGATCACAACCTAAGCCAAAGGCAGATGCTCAACCAACGGACTGAACCCCCAAGTGCCCCCACATTCGCCACTTTTAAGGGGACAGTACAGGGCGCCTGGGTGGCTCAGATGGTTAAGCGTCTCCCTTCGGCTCAGGTCATGATCCCGGGGTCCTGGGATCGAGTCCCGCATCGGGCTCCCTGCTCCTTGGGAGCCTGCTTCTCCCTCTGCCTCTCTCTCTCTGTCTCTCATGAATAAATAAATAAATAAAAACTTAAAAAAAAAAAAAGGGTACAGTACAGTTGTATCAAATTACATGCACCTTGCAGCGCAGATCTCTAGAACTTCTTCAACTTGCAAAACTGAAACTCCATAGCCAGTGAATGACTCCCCTTTTCTCCTCCCCCCCTGGCAACCGCCTTTCTATTTCCTGTTTCTAAGTGCCTGACTACTTGAGATACCTCATATACGTGGAATCTCGCATCATTTTTTTTTTTTTTGGTGACTGGCTGATTGCACTAGGCATAATGTCTTCAGGGTTCCTCCACGTGGCAGCACGTGACAGGATACCTTTTTCTGAGGCTGAACGATATCCCACTGTACAGACATACCTTTTCTTTATCCCTTCATCAGTCGAGGGACAATTAGGCTGTTCCCCCACCTTGGCTATTGTGAATAACAATACAAGGAACATGGGGTGTACAAATACCTCTGCGGGATCCGAAGTCCATTCTTAACCATTGGACTATTCTGCCTCCAGGATCAGATGGGAGTCAGAGGGGTTCATGGACTCTTTCATTCATTCATTCAACTGATAAGCAGGCACCCACCATGTGCTAGGGCCCATGCTAGGGCCACGGCCGTGATGGAGACAGCCCCAGCCCGACCCTCACGGCTCACAGTCCCGGGCTGGGGACGGACCTGTCCCACACAGTGACGACCCAGAGTGGGCAGCGCTGGGATGGGAGAGCCCAGGGAAATGCCTGACTCAGCCTGGGCAGAGGTGGGGGTAAAGAGGGGGGTCAGCCTGAGGTTTTCTAGAGGAGGAGAGGCTTGAACTGAGAACTATTTCCCATTTTCTTATCAACAGGGAATTCTGTTTCTTTATCCAAACCACTGATTAAAGAAGAAAGTTGACAAGGACAAGGGCAACAACAGAACCAGGGTCAGCTAGGGGGAGAGAGCAGATGCCAAGGACAAACCAGGAGCAGGGAAACCAGCCTTGTGTGGGCCACCCATTCAGCCTGCCATAAACTTCCTTGGCTTCCTCAACGCTCGCCCCACAGCCTCCTCTCCAGCCAAGAATAAGACGAGACCCGTGTGAGCTGCCCCATCCCCTCCTCAAAGCAGCCGTCAGCCGCTGCCCACAGCTTGACAGCTCCACTCTGCACGCTGATCACGTTCCCTCGAGGGGACAATGGCGGCTTGTACAGGCCCACACCACAAAGTGCCCCACAGACACTGTTCTTGTTCTTGACGTTCCTTCCCCTGTCACCCAGTGAGAGGGGCCGACGATCACCACTGTCCTGAGGGGGAAAATAAAGCTCAGGAAGCTCCCCTGCTAACAAGAACGAGAGCCTGGAGTCCCAGACCTTTCAGAGTGACCCAACTGCAGCCTTCTTTCCTCTACACCATGCCAATGCCAGCTCCACCTGGTAAGAAGGACGTCAGGAACAACAAGAGCCAGCATTTACCGAGCCAGTCACCCTGGGCAGGCCTAGCAGAGGTCAATGTGCCCCATCAAAACAAAGAGCCCTGTGAGGGAGGTGCTCGGCCCCCACCATTTGCGGCAGACCAGTAGCTGGCAACCAACATCTATTCCCCCTCCCAGTATGTCTGGCACAAAGCCACCCAGAATGAAGCCTAGGCCTCTCAGGCTCCCTTGCACTTGTATATGATCCTGGGACTACTTTCTGGCCAGTGGGACGAATGGAAGTGTTGGGTGCAAACATCTAGAAACTTTCTTAAAAACTGGCATGAGCCAGGTTTTTCCGTCCCTCTTCCTCCCGGCTGGATGGAATGCAGGGACGATGGCTAGAGTGTGAGCAGCCCTCTTAGACCTTCAGAGGACACTGGTAAGAAGACCCACATTCAGCTGAACAACAAAATGGTCCTTGAGCAGAGAGGGCTATTTCGGGGCTTTCAGGGGAAAAAGAAAGAAACTTCTATCTTCACAGCCAAACCTGACTCGACGTAACTCATCATTTCACATGCAAAAAAGGAAACTGGCTTAGGGAGACAGTTACTCGCCCAAGGTCACACTGTACGTAAGCAGGAGAGCTGGAATCAGAACCCAGAGCCCTAGGACTCAAACTTTGAGGACCTAACCGTTTTAGTATTCTGCCTCCACGCTGTGTCACTTCGGACGTGTCGCTGCACCTTTCAGAACTTCTATTTCTGGGGCGCCTGTGTGGCTCAGTAGGTTAAGCGTCTGCCTTCAGCTCAGGTCACGATCATGGTGGGGTCCTGAGTTCGAGCCCCGCATCGGGCTCCCTGCTCAGTGGGGAGCCTGCTTCTCCCTCTCCCTCTGCAGCTCCCCCTGCTTGTGCTCTCTTGCTCTCTCTCTCTCTCTCTGTCAAATATATAAATAAAATCTTAAAAAAAAAAAAGAACTTCTATTTCTGCAACAGTAAGCCCAGGTGAAGTGCTAGGAGAGGTCAAGGTTCAGAGAGTCTGGGGGAGCGTGCCAGCTGTGCCCTCTTGCTATGTGACTGCAGACCATGACTCTCCGAGCCTCAGTTCGCTCATCTGTAAAATGGACGTAAATAAGAACCACGTCCGAGGCTGCAGTGAGGACTTGATGAAGCGTAAACACATGTCAAGCACATAATACATATCGGACAACACATACTTACGTGTTGTGTGTGTCAACAGCACCAGCTGCTTTTACCAGCATTATCTTTAACACAGGGATCAACCCCAACCTCTTAGGGCCGCTCAAAGGACTAGAAAGAACGCACCAAAGTAGTGGGCACTGGGTCTGGCACACCATGAGCCCTCACTATAGCTCATGGCAGCCATTTCTTCCTTCCACTGTGTTCCTGGCCCACACTGGGGCCTCAACTAGGACCGGCACAGACCCGGACCCTGACCTCATGGTCATGTTACAGTTTTCCCAACACCACCAGGGAGGGGCTCGCCTTGATCCAGCGGTTCCTTCCTGGGAGACAGAGGGCAAGTGAGGAGCTCTCAGATATTCCTCTCCTACAGTAATAGCAGCCTCTGTCTCATTGGGGACTCTAAGGAGTCAAAGAAACCATGCATCTAAAACTCTTCTCACAGAGCCGGGTGCCTGGAAGGAACAATTAAAATGGTAACTGCTACTATTAGTAGGTTTACTCGATTACTCTTTCGAGCTGTTATCTGTTGGCCCTGAGCTGAGGATGCAAAGATGACCTGAATACTAGTCCCCAATCTTACAGAGCTAGATATGTGTGTGTTAAATTCCAAAGAGGAAGAACAGGGAGCTGTAATGGCTTTTATAGGGGACACCTGACTGAGTGTGGGGGATGAGAGAAGACTTCCTCAAGGACTGAGATCTGACAGATGAGCAGTCATTACCCAGGTATGGGAAGAGCTCCTGCAAAGGCCCTGTGGCTATGTAATTCTGAGAGCTAAACCGATACTCTTTATACATCTTTTGCGTTCGAGAGAGTCACCCTAGATAACGAGGAGGCCAGAGAGCTTGAGTAAAGGAAGGAGGCAGAAAGCAGAGTGGCATGAGTCTAAGTGTGGGGGGGGGGGTGCGGTGCAGACCATGCAGAGGCTTGAAGGCTGTGTTGAGGAGCCTGGGCTTTCTATCGAGGGCACTAGGGAGCCATGGAGGAGTTCAGAGCAAGGGAAGGATAGGGTCAGACTTGTGCTTTAAGATTTTTTTTTATTTATTCATTTGAGAGAGAGACAGAGACAGAGAGAGCACAAGCAGGGGGAGAGGCAGAGGGAGAGGGAGAAGCAGACTCCCTGCTGAACTGGGAGCCAGACATGGGGCTCGATCCCAGGACCTGGTGATCATGACCTGAACCGAAGGCAGATGCTTAACCATCTGAGCCACCCAGGGGCCCCAGCCTTGTGCTTTAGAAAGACCTCTCTAGCCCTGCTGAAGAGGATGGCTTGGAAGGCGGGTAGGAATGAAGGCCAGGAGACCAGGTAGGAGGCTAAAGCAGAAATGCAGTAGTCAATGGGAACATCTATATTACTATTGTCTAACAGGAGAACTGAACCCAGTACACAAGCACCATTTCAAGCTGGGGTCTCAAGGGCAAGTAGGAGTTAAAGAGGTAAGGAGACATGACAAGCACAATGCCCTGTGGTGACACAGATGGGGAAAAAAGGCCAGTGGAGCTACCCAAGGATGAAGCTGAGAGCCTGGGAGACGTCAGACCACAAGGGCCTTTAAGGTCACAGATGGGAGTGTGGTCTTCTCTCCCAAAGCAACCGAAGCATCAAACAGGAGAGAAAAGTGGTCAGAGTCCATTTAAATGAATACGGATGGCACTCCCACAGGGTGCCAAGCCAAATCTCAAGAACAGCTGAGCTTTTCTGGGCACTGCAAATACAGCAGGAAGACAGACAGCCTTCAGGAGGTGGTCGTCTTATATGTGGACTGCTCTGAGTGTTACAAAACTTTCCTCCTTCCTGCTAACACCAGCTCTGCACTCTGAGGCCACGCCAAACAAGACAGCATACCAGAACCAAGAGAATGCCTCTGGTTTTTACCCATGAGGATGCTCAAGAATTAAATATTCTCCTGAGGAAAGCTGGGCTCTTGTTTTGGCGTATTTCCAAGCCCAAAACCCCACCAGGAGGACCGGGGCCCCACCCTCCAGGAAAGGTCCCACCCCAGATCAAGGCCAGTTACTCACAATCTTTTCATAGTACTCCCGCCGCCGCTCTGCTCTCTTCTTATAGTCAACCATCATGCCTCGAAGCTTCCGCTCATGCTTCCGAGCCTCGTGCCACATCGTGGTGAGGCCGAGCTGGGGGCCTCAACCTGGGGGATGAGAGGGGAGCGTCAGATGGGCTGTAGAAACCATATGGGCAGAATCAAAGTCACCTCGCAAACCGGTAACAGAGCCGATCCTAAACACCAGCTTCAGGGAAGGGAGGTGAGGCTGCAGAACTGTGTGCCAGATGCCAAAGCATATTCCTGACAACTCTGATCCAGTACCTTGGGCGTTCTGAAAACCCCCCAGGAGATTCTGGAACGAGCATCCCTGGGAAAGGAGTGTGCTGGGTTCAGGGCACTAGCATCAGGGATGGAAGGTTTTGGAGTGCTAGCAGTGAGTGTCTGAAGTATGGTCCGGACGCAGACCCTAGGCAAGTGGGGCTGTAGTTCAAGGGAGGGAGAAGAGCTGAAATGGGGCTACCCGTGGGGGTAAGGGATGAATGCAGCTGAAAAAGACGACTTTATGGGAACAGAGCGGTGGTATGGGGCGGAGATGGGGGAATGGGGGGTGGCGGAGATGGAGGGCGGGTGAAGGGCCTGGACGGAAGACGACAACGACTGCGGGAGGTGGGGAACATGGGTGGGGGTGCTGTAAATAAAGACCAGAGAGAGGCTGAGACCTACGGAAGAAATCTGAATGGCGGGGGCGGGGGGAGGTGGGGCGGTGAAAAACGGAGTAGAGAATGGGGGAGGCGGAGCCGGCAGACAAGAGGGGGTGGGCTGAGCTCGGGGGCAAGGCTTGTAGACAGGGGCGGAGCCCAGGGATTTGGACTGGGATCGAGGACCCCGTGTGGGCCTCCGAGTTCGGGCGAAGGTTTTTGACAAGAGGGCGGGGCCTGTGGTAAGCGGCGGGGTCCGACACGGCGAGTTCGGGCCCACAGCGGGGGCAGAGGCGCGGCCTGAGGCGCCGCAGGCCGGAGGGGGTGCGGGGCCAGCGGCCCTCGGGGCTGGAGCCGAGCAGAGGCTCACAGCGCCCCGGGGAGAGGCCGAAACGAGGGCGAAGCTGGGCTGACGCCCGCCCGAAAGCCAAGAGGTCGGGGCCCGCTGCCTGCACTCACCGGCTCGTCGCCGCCTCCCACCGCAGCGCTCGCGCGCGGCCCGCACCGGAAGCGGAAGTGGGAGGCCGCACGAAGGGGAGGGGCGGAACGTGGCGCAGCGCGCTTCCGCCGACGCGAAGGGCGGGCCCTGGAGGGGAGGGGCGGGGCCTGGAGGGTGCTGCCGTAAGAGGCGGAGCCGAGGAGTTTCCGGAGGGATCCGGCGTGCTGGCCCCGGGGTGTTTCTCCAGCGGAGAAGAGACCAGACTCCAAAGGCTCAAAAATTCATCTTTATTGGGAAGACTCAGAACAAACAACCTTTACCCCCCACCTTGAAGCTCGGGGGAGGAGAGCTGAGGATCTGCACCTTTCTCCCATATGTACACTCCAGAATCCGCCTGGAGAAGGTGCCCCCACTCGTGGGGGCTGAGGCAGCTTTACAAGCTGGTGCATGGGAGCCAAGCCCCTATTCCTCTCCGGACTCGGTTTTCTCATTTGTAAAATGGGCTCAGGGGAAACCGGTGCTACGGAGCTTCTCACCAGCGCTGAAGATGTCCCAATCAGAAGGATGAGAAGGTCGGAAGACTGACCAAGGGTGGCCCAAGGATGGAGGTGCTGGACATCCTGGTTGGGTTTGCACGGCCCCTTCCACCTCCCTTCCTCCCCACCCAGCGCCTCTCCTCTAGCGCCTCGGGGCTACGTGGCCTCCGGCCCTGGGGACAGGAGGCCTCCCCCAAAGCCCACCTCGCGGTACTGGTTGGGGAACATGTTGCTGCCCACAAGGCTGGCAGTGCCCCCGTCCCCGGGGCCTGGGGCCTGGTATGAGTCCAGCGTCATTGGCTCGGGGCCGGAAGGCTCTCCAACAGCCGGCCCGACAGCCCCGTTGCCCGTGACGACAGCGCTGGCGAGTGGCGGCGCGGGGGGCAGCATGTCCAGCATGGTGAAAAGTGTGGGGGCCGCAGCGTCATCGTAGGCAAAGCCGTCGTCCAGGAGGTCCGGCCCACCGGGGGGCTCCAGGCCGGGTAGGGACACGGTGCCAGGGAAGAAGTCTGTGTCCGGCAGCAGGGCTGACTGCGGGAGGAACGGGCCTGCAGGGATGAAAAGGCAGAAGGAAGTAGGGTGGCTTTAGCGGCGACTTCTGGCCACGCTCTAACTCCAGTGCCCTGATAGTACTAAATGCATCATCACTGTGGCCTCCTTTAATCCCAGGGAGAACCCCGAGGTAGGGACTATCACCATTCTCGTTTAATAAGCAAACTGAGGCAAAATAATTCAGTCACACATAGCTGGAGAGTTGTAGCACCAGGGTTCAAACCATGCTCCTGCAGGGCTGGGGAGTTTTTCCAAAAAATAAGGAAGTTGAAGAGGCTCCAAAGTCCCCTCTCCCCCAAATTATAGAGGCCACCCAAAAAGTGAAATCCCCACACACGGGAGACCCAAATGAGCAGTCACCAGTCCCCACACTGGAAGGTAAAATTACGTGACATTAGGAGAGGCTCTCTCTGAGACAAGACAAATCTCACCAGCAACGGCATATTATGCTTATCTCAGAAAGAGACCCAGGGCTGCTGGGACTCTATTTTCCAGCCTCCCTTACAGCTAAATGTGGTCATGTGACTAAGTTCTCCTGGCTGGAAGGTGGGCATGATGGCTGGAGCTTTGGCAGCCATTTTGGACCATGAGATGGAAACTGAGTCGAAAATGGCAAGAGCATGCTTGGGTCTCTGATGATCATACAACCTTCAAACCATCCCAGGACTATTTACCTCGGTTTATCTGAGAGGAGAAATAAAGTTCTAGCCTGTTAACAGAAGCCCCTGTTAACTTGGGTTTTACTATGAAAGCAGCTAAACCTGATCATCACAAATGCAGGTGGCATTCTTGTCTGGCAAGTTCCTAAGATCTGAGCACTAACTCTGTGCCAGCCACTATGCTAACTAACTGTGTCATATGACCTCACTAAATTCTAAAAAGGACCCTAAGAGGTAAGGTTTCCATCTGACAAATGAGATCCCAAAGGGGTCACATGATGGCTAAATTCAGGCCTCAGAATCCAAACTTGGTCTGATTCCAGAGGCCATGCCCCTAACCATTACACTATCACGCCAGAGCGGCTTTTCCCCAAGGATGAGAGGGGCGGGGGGCCTTTAGGCACTGAGAAACTGGGGTGATGGAGGAGGTAGATGAATGGCAGGTGGCTAATGAGGAGAGGCTCTGGAAACTGGGGATTGAAGGCTGGTAAAGCGGGCTAGGATTGGTGGGTGCTATAGGTGGAGCTCTGGGCATTGGTTACCAGGTGCAGTGGATAGGGGGAGCAACAGGTGATACTTGAAACCTCCAGGGTGGGACTGGCTGGAGTGGTCCAGGCTCAGCAGACTCTGAGTGGTTGGCTGTTGGCGGGTCGGCTGGGAGCTGGGACCCTGCAGTTGCTGGGGTATTGGGGGGCAGCATTCTTAGAGCTAGTGGTCAGCAGGTGGGGAGGCTTCTGATGGCAGCCAGATAGGGCTGCAGTCCATGGGAAGTGGAGGCTGGCGTGTGAGTTGAGATAAAGGTGTGGGGAGAACAGGCCAGAGGGTGGCTGGGCTAGAGACAGGCTCTGAATTAAGGTTGGCTGGCTCTGACAACCCTTCCTGTTTATCTGCCATCTAGTCCCTGCTACCCATTCTACCTAGTGTTTCATCACTCATCTGTACATGTGCCCAGGTACAGCTCCCAGCTCCACCGCAGACTCGGTGACCTCAGCTAAGAGACTTCACCTTTCTGGGCCTCAGTTTCCTCACCAGTAAAACGATGGTGGGGGGGAGTGATGCGATTTAAATTCAATGAGTAAACATACAAACTGCACTTATGTGCCCGTTATATAGTGTCTGTAAAAATAAATTCATTAAAATCTAAAAAGGCCAATGAGGGAGGTATACAGTGAAACTCTTCAGAGGAGACCCTGAGGCTCCGAGAGATGGAGCAACTTGGTGAGGATCACACAGCAGGAGAATGGCCCAGCGGAGACTGGAGCCTCCAGACTGTGTCCAGAACTGTTCTTTCTACTTCATGCTGCTGCCTAAGATGTGAGTTCCTGGCCTTAGGGGAGCTTTGGTCAGGGGGGGGGGGGGGGGCGCTGAAGAGGCCAGAAGCAGGGCTGCAGCTCACCCTCAGACCCACCTGAGCCGTGACTCACCTGAGCTGGGGTTGGGCAGGAAGTGATCCAGGAAGGCTGGCTTTTTCCTCCGCCGTTTGCTCTCGATGCCATGGGGGTCTGAGGGAAGGCAGAGATGAGGAACCCTGGACTCTCAGAGCCCCTCCTCCCCAGCCTAGGGCTTAGCCATCCCCTCCCAGGAGCCTGGAGATGAGTGCGGAAAGGGGCAGAGGGGACACACCAGAGCTGTTCAGCTCCCCGAGGACGTCAGGCATCCCCCGTTTCCGCTTCTTGTCCACGCCATAGCTGTCTGTTCAGGAGATACCAGGGGCAACATTATCCATCAATAATAATAATTAAGAATTATAGAGACCATTAGGAAGTCATTGAGCTGTTCTCGTTCTTGGCCAACTAATGCAAATAGATGTCCATATCTTAATCAGAATGAAACCCAAATCCCCTTCTAGCCACATTGGCCTCTTTGTTTTTCCTGGGACACTGCAGGCACAATCCTGCCTCAGGACCTTTGCACTTGCTATTCCAGCTGCTTAAAACACTATTTCCCAATTCCCCTGGAGAACCGCTTAGTCATCCCCACATTCTCAGCTCCGCCGTCCCCCTCCTCCAGGAAGCCCTCCCTCATCTCTAAGCCTGGGTCAGATGCCCCCTCTGAGCAATCTGAGTCCCCTGAGCAATTCCATCCCCACTGAAGGACTGTGAGATTTATGAGGGCGGGGCTGGGGCTATCATGGGTCACTGCTATGTCCCCAGCACCACCCAGTACAGGGCCAGGCATGAGCAGGCATGCTGACAGGAGAAATAATCAAATACTCCCCAAATGCCGTCAGATAGGTACTATTACTTCCACTTTACACAGGAGGAGACTGAGGTTCAGAGAGAGGCCAAGGTCACACAACCAGTAAGAGGTGGAGCCAGGAACTGAACCTCAGTCTGTGCAGTTATGAGCCTGCATTTTACTTCTGCCTCTTGGCCCCTCTAGGCCAAAGACCTGGTCTCTGGGCAGCGGGGGTCACCCTGGATTGCCATGGTTACCATGGTCCCGAGGCAGGTACGTGAAGGGCAGAGGCTCACTGCAGACCCCGTCCGTAAGCCGCTGCAGGAAGACATTCACGGTCACAGGCTCAACGATTTCCAGGTCTTCATAGGGCGGTGTCTTGAACACAATGGCAATCTGGCGGTGCACATCGGCCTGGGAGAAGTCAGCCCGGCCTTCCCAGGAGGCCC